TGGGTGGGTGCGTGTGTGTGTGTTTTTGTGGGTGGGTGTGTGTGTATTTGTGTGCGTATGTGTGCAAGAAAATATAGTCATAAAAACGACTCTCGAAAATTATTTTGTTAACACAAATCGATGCAGTTCCTTACACGAAAATTCCTGAAAACAGTCTAGAGTATATATGTAATTGAAATTCTAGAGTGAAAAAAAAAAAACAAGAACAAATCGTAAACACGAGACAGAAAAAAGACAAAACATGCTCTAAACGTAGTATAAACACAAGTATCGAAAAAAAGAGAACACTTAAAAACAAGAATGAAACAAGGAAAAGACAGAAAAAGCTAAAACTGATAACACGGATTAGAAAAAAGACAGAAAATGCCCAAGAAATAAAAATGAGAAGACCAAGAAAATCTCGCATCCTCTCCCTACCTTTCTTGCTCTCTGTCCCTGGCGCTGTGCTCCCTCTCGCGGCTCACGTGCTCCACGTAGCGCTCCACGAACTTCTCGCGGCCTCCGTCGGGTTCGTAGCGGCCGAGACGAGCCTCCAGACGCTCCAGACGCTCCCTCAGGTCCCCTCCGCCTCCTCCTCCTCCTCCTCCTCCAGGCACTCCTCCTCCATTCCCTCCCCTCTCGCCTCCTGCTCCTCCGGCGCGGTCTCTGCTGGGCTCCCGCACGGCCTTGGGAGCCTCGCGCCCCGCCGGCTCCATGCGCACCTCCTTGCCCTCGAACTTGGCCTCCTGCTTCGGCTTGAACTCGGGCGACGACGGCTTGGGGTCGAGGAGCAGGCGCGACCCCTCCGCGGCCCCCTTGGCCTCCACGCGCGCCTCCTGGTCGAGTTCGAGGAGCCTGGGGTCCATGCGGGGGTCCATCGCCAGGCGGGGGTCCATGGAGAGACGAGGGTCCATCATGCGGGGGTCCATGGCCATCCGGGGGTCCATGGCCATCCGGGGGTCGACGAGGAGCCTGGGGTCGGCTCGGGGGTCGATGAAGCGGTCGGAGATGCGGTCGTGGAGGCGGTCGACCGTGCGGTAGTTGATGACCGTCTCAGGCTCCTTGTTCTCCTTGTTCTTCTTGGAGCCCGGCCGGAGCAGCGAGGAGTACTTGCTCTCCTTGTTCAGCCTGCAAGGGTAGGGGATTAGGGCTTCTCCTTTGTATGGGGCGAGGCTGCGCTCTCTGGGAAAGGGGGTCCAAGTTCGTCCTTCGGCAAAGGAAGTGTGACGGGAGGAATTTGAAGTGTGTGAATGATTTGGATGAAAATCGAGGTTTAGATCTTTATTTTTTCATTTTCTCTCTCTCACTCACTTTCCCTCCCTTTCTCTCTCTCTCTCTCTCTCTCTCTCTCACTCTCTCTCTCT